CCGAGCGCTGCGGCGCCGGCTTGCGTTGCCAGCCGTCGCCCGGCGAGCCGCGCCCGCTGCAGGCGCTGCTGGACGGCCGCGGGGTCTGCACCAACGCCAGCGCTTTGGGTCGCCTGCGCGCCTACCTGCTGCACGGACAGCCCGCGTCAGGTGAGGCCGCGCCGCCGCAGAGGCGGGTGGGGTGGCGAGTGCTGCTGCCACAGATGCTCGGCTTCTCATCGCCCCAGGTTTTGCCAGGGCGGGAGACCGAGGCCCTGCGGACCAGGGGCTTTGCCCAAGGCCATCCCCCTGTCGGCGGGCCTGCACTTTCTTCCTTCCCAAAGGTCGGGGACTTCGCAATTGCAAAGCGCTGTCAGCGAAATTGGTAAAAGAGTTCGTGGGGAAGGAGGGGACGCATCCCAGTGGTTATCTGTCAATGGAAAGACCGCGAAACGGAGATTCTCCCAGGCCTCGGTGCTCGAGGAGCGCGGGTAAACTGGCACGGACCACGGAACCCTTGAATGTGGCTTCCGTTTCCCAGAAACGACCAGCAGACCCATCTTGATGAGGCTGGCATGGGTGAGGGGGGCGGCCGCAGGGCGAATTTGAAACGCGGAAGGTAGACAGGCACGTTGTGCAAAATGGTACCTCCCCTAAAAAAATAGAAATGAAGTTTGCCCAGCGGTATGGTTTGCCAAGCCATGTCATGTCCTGGTGTGTCCTGAGGGCGTGGGAGGTGGGTATCGGGTATTGTTATCTTTTTGCAGTTGGAAAAATGGGGCCAAGGCCACCCAGAGGCGAGTAGAGTAGGACTTGAACCCCGTTTCCCAGACTGAGTCGCACATTCCTTCTGTATCATCCCCCCTGTGTGCCCCAATCTCCCACCGTCCCTGCGTGGCCCCCAGACAAACTCCCAAGTGCAGGCAGTGTGAGCAGGAGGGAGTTCAGGGAGACGAGAGAGAGTTGGAATAAGCCCCTCACGATTTCCCTTCTTAATTTAGAAGGGGAAAATGAAGTTCTGTTTAAGGTATCCCTGCAAGAGGAAAAAAGCAAAAGTTTGGTAAAGTGTTATTCATCCTGGCTCGGCCGCTACCAGGCAAGCACTGTTCCGTTCCTGTGGGGTCAGCTGCAAAGCTGAAGGCTAGAAACGCTCACCTTGGCGGGCAGAACAGACCCTTAGCTTCCACCTCCCCTTCTAGGGAAGGCTACTTCCTTCTAGGCAAGGCATCCCAGGAGTGTGGAGAGGCAAAATTCCAATTACCTGAAGTATGCACTGGTTCTAATACACTTGAAATCACTAGATGCATTTGTCTCTCATGGAAAGTTACGTGGTTTGTTGTGTGTGTTGTTCTCTTATGCATTTTGGGGTATTTAAAAGGGGCTATTAGAAGTTCTTCTAAACGTTGTCATTTTTAGTTCACCTTTAATGGGTGTTACGATTAACACAGTAATAGGCTGATGTGGTTTATTTTAAGATTATAAAAAGATCTAAGTGATTCTAAAATCTGTTTAGGAAAAAAATAGTAAATTTATATGAAAATCAAAAGGCGCAATTATCTCTTGCTTAAATAGAACTGGTTTCTCTTTTCATGCCCAAGTCAGCAATCTGGACATTAGAAAGAAACCAATGAAGTTTAAGAAATGACTCAGGCTTCTTGGCAAAGAAATGCAAATATGTTTATTTACATGTTCTTAGTGCCTGCTTTGTGCCAGTACTTCCATGAAAAAGAAAAAAAAGATAAAGGATATTGACACTAAATCCTACCAATTAAGAACCTTACTCTGTCAGGCACTGGGCCAGACCCTTGGAATTTATGCATCCTGCTTTACTAAACACCCTGGGGAACTTTGCAGCTGGCCCATAGTATTGTTTTACAGATGAGGAAACCTACATCCAGAGAGGAGAGGGGCTCCCTGGTCTCTGGAGCCCAAGCCACATGGCCTGTGCATCTTATATCCGGTTGAGAGGTGCTTTCCAGAGAGAAGAGGGGCTGGGAGCCTTCTCACAGCTGCCATCTGCTCCTCATTGCATAGAGCCAGAGGCCCTGGCAGGGCTCCCAACAGGCAGACTGCCACAGTGATGAGCGTGTTCCTGGGAGAGCAGAGAGCGGTTCAAGGGGAGCTGGGCGCTTTGGACCCCAGGCTAGTAGGTCAGGACCAAATGGGTTTGGCATGCTAAAGCCCTGTTTGTTGGAGTTAGGAGAGATCCCAACAGTGACCAGAGGGTCAGCCTGCCCTGGGAGCACGTGCTCCACTTGTAGCCCTTGGTCCCCACAGGGTCTCCCAGGGGCTCGGGAATAGGCTACCTAGTGCTGATGAGCATGGCCAGAGGGGGCACAGGTCAGGAGGGAGGGACACGTCACTGGCCGTTTCCCGTGGTCACTCACAGGATATCTTGGAAAAGGCGTGGAGTGAGAATCCCAATCGCACATCCAGCCACAAATGTAATCCGTATACTTAAAACCACAGTTAAATTGTTAGGATTCCAGCATCACTGTCAAATATTAGGCTTTCTTCATTTATCACTTTTAATTGTAAAAGAGAGATCTGTAGGAGGTGATTTACCCTTTTTTCAGGGTGTGGAAGCTCTGGCACATGTAAGTATAAGACAGGAATGGGGCTTTGATGCCAGCGCATTGCCTTTGCTCGTGTGCCCACTGAGGGGTAGGAAGAACACTACCCAGGAAGGAGCCCAAGGATTCAAGTGTGTATAGCTCTTCTGATGTTCCAGACCCCGCGTGGATGCGGATTTTTAGAGATGTGGCAGTGGGACCTATAAAACAAACTACTAAACACACCTGGATGACTTGGTATATGCAGTAAAACAGTGCAGATAAGATGTCACTCACCCCATCTGAGTCAGACACAGGCTTTTACCTGGTGACACTGAAGAAGGTGCTTGTCAAACTTAGCAAGCCACAGAATCCTCTGGATGGCTTGTTAACCCTTTGGTGTCCTGTAAATGTGGCACCCGCCTACATTTTATGCCTCTGGAGTTTCTTGGGAAGCCGCTTTCCCACTTATAGTGCATGCCGCTGCAAGGCTAGGGCCTGTATAACTGTTTGAAACCTAACAAATGGGCGAGTGCCACAAATTACTGTTTTTACAGGGTATTGTATTAGGTGGTGCACCCTGGAGGTATGATTTTGCAAAACTTATCTCTTTTGGCTTTTTTAGTGGGAGATAAGCTTATATTCCCATGTTCCTGTGTTATTTGGAAGTGCGTTACAATGATTCCGCATTCGCGGGAATACCTGATTTTCAGGTGCCATTCATTGTATGCACCTGGGATCACACGAGAGTCCGTAGGGACATAGGCATCCCATGTATTCCCCATAATACCTACCAAAAATTCAGACACACTCAGCGATTCAGCATGCCTTCCATTACTGAAAACACATGGTATCCCAAAAATAAATAAATAAATCAAAGAAGAAAATAATTTGGTCACCAATTAAAGCACAGGTTGCTTGGCCACCGCCAGCGTTTCTCCTGCAGTGGGTCTGCGGTGGGGTGGAGAAGGTGCGTTTCTACCAACTTTGAGTAGCACTGAGAGACCTGCTCAAAGCAGCAGGAGCCTTCCGTGGCTTAGGTCTGCCCTCTGCTGGTGGCATATGAAAGTTGTGTTACATTCACCGTCTCTTGGAAGATAGGTGAAAGCTGAGAGCATAAGCATGTTCTTACCTCCTTTAGTTGCACTTACTAAGTAAAAGCTCATGGAAGATTAATTCTTAAAAGATGACTTCTTTTGGTAAAGTGACTACTATGTAGCTACTAGTATTATGAGATAATACTTTATCAAGGTTTTAAAAAAAAAAAAATTTGAAATTGTTAAATAACTTTTCCACTTAAATGTGACTGGGTGGTGCAAATAGTTAAATGTGTTCAGCTACTAATAGAAAGGTTAGAGGTACGAGTCTACCCAGAAGTGCCTCTGAAGAAAGACCTGGCAATCTGCTTCCAAAAACTTAGCCATTGAAAACCCCACACCGTGAGTGTTCACCGTGAGTCAGTGTTGCCTCTGTGGCCGCTGGTTATTTTGGTTGCAATAGCAAAACTTCGCAAAGACTACTGTACCATTATATGTTGACAACTGTTATTTCATTTTTTTGTCTTTGTTTCCCTTGTGTCTTCCAGGAAATGCCAGTGAGTCGGAAGAAGAACACAGTACTGGGAGCATGGAAAACCAAGCGCTCCCCAGCACACATCGGGTGCCAGACTCCAAATTCCATCCCCTCCACACCAAAATAGACGTTATCAAGAAGGGCCATGCCAAGGACAGCCAGCGCTATAAAGTGGACTATGAGTCTCAGAGCACAGACACCCAGAACTTCTCCTCTGAGTCCAAACGGGAGACAGAATATGTAAGAACTTTTCCTCTTGTTGGGGGGGATGCAAAGAACCACCTAGTCTGGGCACCCAGAGCGTCACCTAGGACAGTGGGGTTTCTTTATTTAAAAGAGCCCAGTCAAGAGAGCCAAGTTTTTCTGGTTGATATAGTGTGCAGCCCCCGGCCTCTCCCGCTCCACCTCCTTCCTCGCCCGCTCCTTCCTTCCCTCTCCCCTCATGACTTAATGAACATTTAACAATTGTAAAAGAGGTTTGTATGTTGTACAGGTGTCCACAGAACCCTTTCTTGTCTCCTCTATGCCAGGTTGTACATCTTACTCTGGGGATATCAAAAAGAGAGGGAGGGAGAGAAAGTTAGCATCCTCATGAGCTTTCTTGCTGAATCAGACAAAAGATATTCTGGTTCCTGTCAAGTCGGTTCCGACTCCTAGTGACCCTATAGGACAGAGTAGAACTGCCCCATAGGGTTTCCAAGGAGCAGCTGGTGGATTTGAACTGTTGACCTTCTGGTTTGCAGCCATGCTCTTAACCATTGCACCACCAGGGCTCCCCAAAAGATATTAGAGGAGCACATGATAGGTTCCACTTGTGATAGTTCTCTGTGCGTGATAAGATGTTTAAGAAGTAATGACAGACCCCATCGTCCCGCACTCCTTCGTGTCCAGGGCCCTTGCCGCAGGGAAATGGAGGACACGCTGAACCACCTCAAGGTCCTCAACGTGCTGAGCCCCAGGGGCGTTCACATCCCTAACTGCGACAAGAAGGGCTTTTATAAGAAAAAGCAGGTGAGTGAGAGCCTCCGTGTGTTCCCCTCCC